CTATACTTGTATTGCAGTTCATCGGAAGTCGCTCTTACTCTCTCTCACAGTGGTCCCTAAACTCGAGGTAAGGTTGTCGTTCGTTAGGGTGGGACGTCATTTTTGAACTAGAGATCTCCTAGGACACCTCCAGCTATGACTCCGCAAGAGCAACGTTCGTGAGCTTGGACATACTTTTGTCAAAATATTTGTCTGACACGTTGCTAGGATCCAACGCTGCGATGGCGATCAAAGGTTGCAGAACAGAGGAAGGGAAGCTAGTACAAAATAGACGCGAGATGCAAAAAATCAAGGGGTCTCTATATGAAGGTGTTGTGACGTCTCCGGAAATGTATGTCACTGAGCTTGATCACGTTGGTAAGTAGCGAACTAGGTCCCGAGCTTAATGACACTGATTGATGTGCAGTTGTTATGGGTACAGTGAAAATATTCATCGCTCTGAGTGAGTGTCCCTCGGTCCTGCACAATGCAGCATTCACAGTTCATTGCACAGATGTTCCCGAACCGCACACCTTCATTACGAGGAAGCATGATTGTCTCGCTCGCTTCATTCACACCGTCATGCCCCTTGCAAACGTTTAAAGTCTTTGAATGACTGCACTTCACATCCTTCATGACCTAGAGGGCGGCTTGATCGCTTTCAATCAGAACGGCAGACTCTTTCTTAATTACAGCCTCTTCGAGGAATGGTACGTGTGCATACTTGGTGCTTCATGCTTTCCTGATGCTGTCAGATGCGGATGATCAAGACGTAAAGAATGGGAATACCAACCAGGCTTATATTTCCTGGTAAGGCATCATCACTCCTTGAAGTTATTGAATCAATGATCTGCCCCAGGTACTTCGCGCTAGCACACGAAATCGCTCACAACCTGGTGCAACCCCATAACTCTGAGCATGAGTTTTACTTCCCTGTGCTCTGCGAAGCTCACATTGTGAAATTCGTTCAACTCTTATCCCAGTAATTTACCAGGCCGTGGGACTGATACGTAGTTGGACAGTAATCATTTCGCGTAACGGACTCGAATTCAAAAAGATGCATCCTCGAAAAGTTGGCAAAAGCCTTTTCATATGTGGCACAATCAAAGTCGATGGGGATAGTTTTGACATGATGGATGGATTCAACAGTACCTTTAGGAGCGTTTGCAGACGACCAAGGTTATCATCGGTAATGTACGCTGTCTCGAGTCCGACCAATAAGGTAATCTAAGAGGCGTACATTTCCTTCAGTCGATGAGAAAACTCGGGAACTGCTTTGACAGGTCATCAAGGCGCAGTTCCCTCTGGCAGATAGATTCAGATGTAAAACCTAGTTTGAGGAGGAGAAACTACCTCCGCTGGAACAAGATTTTCTAGCCTGTAGCGGGGCACATGTTCTGTCAAAAGATACACCTCGAAACGTTGTTTGATGTCTTCCGATACAACTTCTTCTACGGATCCGAAAGCATGCCCACAGAACCGTCCGGAGTAAGAGTCAGAGTCCGTGTAAGTAATTTACAAGAGGACGGCCGTAAGGTCAAGTTGACATTGACAACGACATTTCAGAATTGACCAGGCCACGAGTGAAGTGAACAATGAGCACTCTGCCCCGGTGTCCTCTGAGCGGTGATATAAGTACAACATTTACATTTAATTTATATTTTTACATAATCCATGTTGCATGTCGCGTGTGCCAGGGCAAACTTTACACCGTACTGAACTTCATCTCTTACAACTTATCATGTTCTCGAGTTTCCCGGCTCTCAACAATTAATGTCGAACAGTTTATCAGCTCCTCTCGCGCCAGACAGAGTGTGCAGAACGGACCTAGTGGTGATGCCAAAGCTCGACCTCGAGCTAAGCAAAGGATTCTTTCATTGGCACCAAGCCAGAAAATGAATGTTGAGATATCTTTCCAGCTGGTGCGCATGATACATAGTTGCCATCTCTACTAAATTTGAACGTCCAAAAAGGTCCACATGTATTTCTGCTCAGTCGTGGGAGAAGTCAACCCTGCCTGGATGTCTTGCTTGTCACGGTTATCGCCTAAGTGACCTCTTGAGAAATGCTCCGCTCGGGGGTACTTGAACCAAGCTTATCTTGTCGCCTAGTTATTTCTAGGTTTTAACCTTCTGTTTGCTGTCATTCCCCTCTGCACGCAAAATTGGTTGCAAAACCACCTGCCCTCTTCTGGGCATAGCTAGCACTTGGCCAGTTCCTACACATCTCCCGACAGGTGGTTTCCGTGTCAATCACAAAACCTCTACCTGATCTCGACAAGGAATCTGAAATTGAGCTTCAGGCGGGGCTTACCTCAGGGCAGTTCACGAGTGTCGACCTGATCAAGGTCCGTAAGCATACTAGCAGTCTTGCATATCATGAATCGCCTGCAGTGATACTAATGGAATTACGGATATGGTTTTTACATTTTGATTTAACAGGCGTATTTCTCCCGCATCGAAGAGGTCAATCTACAGGTGCCGATGCTCCGCGCTGTGACAAATCTGTCTGCGCTCCAAAAGGCTGCTATTCTGGATTATGAGAAGCTCACCTACGTGCCACGTAGTGCGCTCCATGGGATCCCTGTTCTTGTGAAGGATAATGTTGCGACTGTGGCATTTGAAGGTGTGTTTGATAGTGTAGAGTGGAAAGCCGAAAGTTATAGCAATGCATGAAGGAATGAACACGACTGCGATTCATATAGCTTGTTGAACTCCGTGTTTCCGAATGATGCAGGTGTGGCGAAGCGATTACGCGAGGCGGGAGCTATTATCAGGACGTGTACTTTGACGTTACGAGACATCCGTGTCTTGTCGAGTGACCTTAGCATCTCTCCCTCCAGGCAGAGCGTGCAATTTGTCCATTTGGTAATAGAAGTTTTTTTGATGCGAGGGAGCGTGTGATTGCGTCAAAGGAAATTAGACAAAGCCTGCGCTTCTTCTCCGTCGGAGAGTTTTGCATATCTGTCTCGCTTGCGAATAATGGAGGGTCTCAAACTATCGCTCTCAAGTATCACAGAGAATGAACGCGTCGACAAGTTCTTCTGCTGTCTCATAATTTGAGACCCGCGCACGATCTTGCAGTAGTTAAGCCAATAGGGCTCAGGAAGAATGCTGTAAAGCAGCACAGCACCAAAGGTATATAGGTGAAAAAGGAAAAGGAGTGGATGTGTGGGAAAACGAAAATCTGTAAGGCAGCAGTGTGCAGAAAGGGTGCTGGAGCTCGCCGGAGTGTAGCCTGGGCTATGTCTATATGTGGTAGGCGGAGAAGAGAAGCCACCTGCTGCACAGCCGCTATACGAAGTCCTCATTCTAATCTTACACTGATACCTCGCTTCGGGTTAGAATTTCCAAACGCAACAAATAGAGCGCTACTAGGGGATATTGATTAGTATAGGCACAAAGACACCGGTTGCACTCAGGCTTACAACGTGGCGCCACTTGCAACCCCTCTCCACTGTGGAAGAATCCGCATTGCCTTTATTAAACAACCTGGAAATATCAAGCTGTCCTTCCCGGTGTCCGATGTGCAGTCAAACTGTATAAAAATAGGTCATACATTGAATAAAATAAAATGAGCTGCAATACTCAAAACAAATTACCTTGCGGAGCAAGGTCTATCGGAGTCGAGCGAAATGTGTAATGGCAGCCTGCCATTTCTCTTTATCTTGCATTATTTCTCATGTGGCATTCCTACCCTGGCGTTCACAGATATTCTCGCAGTACATAAGCTATATATAGCTTAGATGTCCGCATACGTGTTGTCGTCTACACATCGGATACTTCCTGAGTTTGGTATATACTACGAATTGAGAATATAGCGTATGAGCTCCAGCGATTGTGTGCCTCTCATTGACGGCGACCTAATTTGTCTCTGAATTTCGACGTGTACAAAACTTAGCCTGTAATTGTCAGTTCTGTTTGACATGTTAATAAAAAAGGGAATGTGCAATTTGAGATGGAGGAGACATACCTTATTCGTCAATGTCCATCGCAAGTGAATGTTCCGAGCCCAAGTCTAGCATCTGTGCATCTTCCAGCGGCTGAAATGCGGTGTTGTGGTATTCCCCCCCCTCTTTGTCTCCATCCTTCTTCCCCTTGCTTGTTCCTTCTGGTTCACAGTTGCTTGAGTTTGATGAAGAACTGTTGAAGTTCTTTTGAGGGGGGGAAATGGTGCCAGAATATTTGAGGCGCGGCGAGTGCGTTCACCCTCTTAAAGTACTCGTTGTCCTCATCGTTCCTTGCCCACGCAGACTTCCAGTGGCACGAAGTACACCGAACCCGGATTTTCTCCTTCTGATTGTAGACTTGTATTCCTTTTAGCCCTGGATCGCATCCGCTTGTTCCGCACATCTTGAACTCGTAGCCGAAGGCACGCAATGCAGGGGCATCCTTCCCAATCTGACGGCATTCCATTTGGCGGGGGACACTAGCAGTCGTCGCGTACAACAACACAACAGTTGTGTAATCTAAGACTTGATGGTTTGACGTAAGGATATCTCTCAATGCAGACCAGGGATCTGTTTGTCCGAACACTCCAGTCTCTACAATGAGAGAGCGCACCGTATGAGATATTTGAGATGCGGAGGTGCCAGAACCTCCAAATCCAAGCACAAAATCAAACTTGTCACTGAAGTGCCATGAGTGAAGCGCATTCGCGTATCATAAGAAATTTTTACTTCTCTACAAGCGACACAAGCGATTCAAAGTTATGACGGAACCTGACGGCAGGATGACCGCCGACGAGGAGCAGAGCTCTCCGTCCTCCCCTTGCCTTGGCCGTGAGGTCACACCAGGGCTTCTTCCCGGTTGCTGTAATGTTGACAGTGGCGTCGCCACTTGCAGCAGAAGAGGCTTCTCCCATGCACTCCATGAACTCTTCGCCGAGGGATTTTGCAACCACGTCTGAGATTGAAGCGCTTCCTTCGGCAATTTCATCCGAGTCAGTGTCGATCATGACAAAAGAATTCGGGGGACATCCAGCCTTTATGGCCTTGTGAATGAGCTCAATCCCATCTGCAAGGTTCTTGTGCTCGGACATCTGTACACCCTGGGTTATGGGAAAGGTGCGAATGAAAAGCTAGAAGGGATCTTCAGTATCACACACAAAAAGAATGTCAGCTCCACGGACATTTGATGCCTGTGACTTGTAGTGATTGATTAATTCAACCTTGGTGGTCGTTACCAGGTAGCCTTCCTCCAACGACTCCGCATTAAGGTTCACGAGGCACATCGGCCATTCCATCTTCACTTTTTTTCGCCTCCCAAAGCCAGAATACACGTACGGCAAAGGAGAATCCTTCTTGTTTCCGGTCCTTGCACAAATAGGGCACAGGAACTCCTCCCTGCTGCACACTACAGATCCATGAACAATGCAACCGCTGCTTCGAGGAACGAACTGTTCGCAAATGAGAGCGTAGCAGTTGATGCACTGATGTTGGAATCCAGGTTGGATCGCGTCGCAGCACATGTGGCAGTATATTCCCAGCATGTTGGATGAGACGGCGGATAGGCATTGAAGTAACTCCCCGTGGTTTCTGGAGAGGTTGGACGCATCCTGTGGCACCATGCTCCCGATATCTGCCTCCCCTGGGCCAGCACGTGAGATACCACTCAGGATCGCACCAGCTTTCGCTCCTCTGTGCTTTTTGGGAGGCATTTTGGGGATGGATAAAAAGGGAGGAAGGAAAGCGGATTTCGACAGCAACGTGTCACACGCCAACCTCACATTTCCCAATAGGTAACTTATCCTCAATTATTAATATAGTACGTGTTACCAGAATAGTTGTCTCTGCCAAAGACCAATACCGGGTTTAAATCCACCGTAAATTTGCAAGTCAGCTAAATAGTACCAATTTACTTGTACGTTAATCAGGGTAAATATGGACCTACGGCCATACCTCCCACTGGCAGGATTTTGCATCGGGAGGTGCCTCTAACAACAAAGACGAAACAAGAGACAACCGAGTTACGTGGCAATATGCTGCTCGATATGCTAGAAAAAACCGTTCTAGATTGAATCACACTGCTGAGTTTGATGAGTTCTTTGTCTTTTTCTGAATCTACAGTTGCAAGAAACATTTGCCGTTGACGACTGTACAGGGTGTTGTCCGTTTGCCAAACAGTATCTGGTCAGCTTACATTCCTCACCGTGCAGTCTCCGAATAATAGGGGCCCGCCAGCAGGAAGGGATCAGCATCTACAGAGAAACGCTCAGATTCAGTCCTTTCTTGACAAAATTCTCAAGACGAGTAAAATATAGAACAACGTGGACCTGGTACCTTGGATATTTCTGTGCTGTATTCTCCTTCCCTGTTGACACCGAAACCGGCGCTTCTTCTTGCCTCGCTCGTCCAAGGCGCTTCTAGCCTTATCAGGGATGGGTTGCAGAGTTGCAGGTCTCTTTGTTGGATAAAGAAATTGCGCTTGCAACGTCAAGATGAAGCTTGCAATACGGACGCCAGATTTGGCGCTAGAAACGTCGTTCCAGTGAATGGGAGTGAATCGCAGAAAGAGCCACAAATTACGAGGACTAAAGATTGATGGTATCAAAGGATACGGACTGCTTTGCAACAAAGCGTGAGTACGGCGGAAGAGCTTATTAAAGGACAAGGGCTAACATGACAAGGGCATGCAGTCATGATGTAAATCGGCATGAGTGAAAGATATGCCCGACATGGTCAAGCGTGCTGTGGGGATCCCCGACCTGGGCCATCTGCAGTCGCAATGGCGAGAAAGAGATTGGAGAGGAAGCGCACATCACAATGGGCGTCCCATATAGAAAATCCCTCTTTCATAACTGCAGCGGGATGATGGAAACTTGGATAGAGGAAAGAATCGAGGTCTTTTGGCTTGTTTTGTCCAGGGACGACGAGTCCAGGAATCACAAACTTCTTCTTGTATCGTGTATCCGGAGAACGATCAAAGACGATCCAAATTGAGATCCAGCAGTCAGACTGCTTGTTCTTGTAGAGTTGGGCACCGTGGACAGACGTCATCAAAATAATGTCATCGTTCCTGCCTTGTACAGCCTAACTATAGCCATCTCCATCGAAGAAATCGCTGTACGAGTCGAGACTGCCACACCGTTCCAATTCCTCGAATATATTCTGTGCTTTTCTGTCACGGTAGTACACCTCCTGAGCATTCTGTGAATTCCGGGTACAGTGCCTGTAATTAGGGCACAAGGGTGGAGGGGGGGGGGAGTGGGAAACTGCATGCGAGGTTTTTTGTACGTCCAGAGGTCTTTTCTAGCAGCGCTTGATCATAGCGAAACCAACCACACTCTGGACAGTGTTCCAGGTGCGAAAACGGAACTGTATAGCCGATACAAGAGTTGGGACGCATGTCATGCATGGCAGAGTAGACGCCTGTGATATCTTCAGCAATTTTCTTCGTTTGATAGAGTGTCAGGAACTCCGCAGGATCAATATTATTTCCTTTGATATACGAAAGCCGTGTGTGGTCAAAATCAGAGTCCGAATGCTTGAGATGCATGTAGTTTTCGAGAGCAGCCCTGACATGGGGATCATCGATCGTCGCAGTGTATTGTGGTGGGTTGCGAAGGCGTCCAATAGTCTCACTATCAAGTCCCGAGGCATGATCTTCTAACGAGGCAGCTTGTAGTCCTGCAATGAAGACGAGAGAATGCCTGAGGTTGTCCAGCAAAAAACTCACACGTACATTCACTTTGCGAAGTCTATCAGTAAACCCATGTGTGTGTTGAACGAACAAATTCATTGAACTTACCTTGGAGCAGTCCCGATCCTCGTTCAAGTTCAGAGAAAATTTGTACCTTCAGCCTCAAATCTGGCAGTACAATTCTACGGAAGTGAGTTTCCAAGAAAGAGAGAGTTCTAGAGGCATGTGATGTTGCAGTGAGAGGGATGCGCTGGAGGATATAAGTCTTTGAGGTTCACATTGGCGAGAACATTCGTGCGGAAAAGAAACAGACTTGATTCAAACTAACTGGCGAACGGATGTACTACGTGTGTACAAGGTCGTTTCGGTGAGGAAAAGACGACAAGGATTTCGGGCTAGGGCACGCAGCGCCTACCGGCCTCGAAGGGTCTCTAGCCTAAGGGAAACAGTTGAGCTGCGAGGGAAGTTGTGCCGCCTCGCTGTGATTTGACTAATTTGCCCCTTCAGGGCACAATGGTAGAAAACAGGTCTCTCTCTGAGTGTTAGCGAGGTGTTCGTTTGTGCTTCTGCGCAACGAAATCAGGGAGGAGGATGGGGAAAAGAAAAGCTAAGTCGACGAAGTGCGCGATGAGGATGGTCGACGCAGCAGAGGAAGAAGAGGTGTGAACGTTACACTAGCTGTTCGATCAAAAACTCTGTATTTCCTCCGTTCATGCCTTGCTACGTTGGAAAGATGCGATAGAGGTGCGAGAGGGGTGCGAGAGGAGGCAGTGGAGGTCCAGGAGGATGCAACAGAGGTCCAAGAGGTCACGATGGAGGTCTGTGAAATTGTGACGGAGGTCCGAGAGGATGTGACAGATATGCGAGATCGGTGTGAGAGGATGTGATGGAGGTGTGAGATGGTGCAAAAGGTGCAAGAGGGGTGCAAGAGGATGTGATGGAGGTGCGAGAGGATTAAACATCTATTAGTGTTGTGTGGCATTTAGAGGATATGAAACGTACGTGTATAAATTGGGAGACAAACTAACCCCAATGGCAAAACCGGCACTGACGAGTGACATCACGATACCAGTTAGTGTACTAAGAACTTGAGAGTGATGTGGTCACGTTACACGTACTCAGAGCAGAACTAGCAAAACGAACCTGCAAAACTACCGAGCTTAACCAAGAAAAGCAATGTGTTAAATAATGCTCATGTTAGTGAAGGCGGTATGCACCAAGAAATCGAATGAGTTCTTACCTATAGTCGTAATGTGAAACAACATTAACAGTGTTGGCGCAAGACATGGCAAGTCTTGCCATACCTCGTTCAGGGTGTCGTTAATCATTCATTCTTCAGGTACCGTTCCGTACCTATATTTGGTGGAATAGCCGTAGCCAAATGATACCAAACACCACAGCGGGCGAAAAAACAAGTGATCAAGCTTTGAGCCCTCGCTCGGGAAACACCCTCAACAGGTTGATTCGCAGGCTATAACACGCACTGAACTTCTCGGACAAAAAAATAAGCAGCCAACACTATGACGCCAAATACAACATCCAAGAAAAGGAAGGATCGGGTACTTTCTGTGATGTCCACTAGTAAACCAACTCTTCCGGCGCCTCCAGTGCGACTCCGGAAGCCTATGGCGTCATTTTCCATTCCAATAATCCGTGCAGAGCTAGTCATGGATGAATCCCTGATAAACCTTGGAACTCAGATCACCTACTGCGCTCCGGAAGAAGTTGTTGCCTTTGATTTCGATACACGGAGGAAGCACACAACCTGCCGCGTACCAGTGATGGAGGGCGGGAGGCTTAGAGGGTATGTACCCCTGCCCATGAGGTATCGGGACATTTGGCTCGAGCTTTCGTATAATATCGTGCTGATGATGAATATTTGGGAACTTTGGTCGAAGGAAGAGGGAAAGGCTTTGAGGCCGAAGGAGAAAAAGATGGCCACTGCTTGCCGGCAGAACGTTGGGACAGTGGTCGTTCAATACATGCTTTCCAGGCTTCTTGCGGTTGAGGAGTTGGTCAGCTTGAGTCATAACACCGAACCTGGCGAGGAGCGCGTAAAGATTCTCAACGAATGGAAGGTCCGGATGCTTCGAGATTGGTTCGATATGACACACTCAGAGGCCATGTCTAATGGACCTGAATTCATGCGTGCAGATCCAGCAAGCATTGAAAATAAAGCATTTTTCGGTGTGTCCATCCCATCGGCCGTTCGTCTAACATCGCCTGATCTGAATAGAAAGTGATTGGGAGATAGAGGAGGATGGGATTAACATCCTATCGCCCCCGGCAGACCCCAATCTCTGGATTCATGGGCGTATCGAAGGTCTGGACGATGTCTTTGAAAGAACTATTAAACCTCAGGCATTAGAAGAGTTACAAAAGCCCAGCCAATTTTTCAAGACTCGGTACAAGAAAGGGACGAAGTTACCCGAACGATGGCACGAGGGAAATGAGCCCCGTCCATTCTTCTGGAGCATTAAACAGTGGAATTGGTTCTGTGAAGGTGACGTCAATCCGGACGGTCGTTTGCAGTTACAAATAACTTTTTCAATTACTACAGGGAATGACTATTGGGACGCGCCAATCGACCTTTTGCATTACGTTCTTATCACAGAGCCAGCGTACCACGAAGTCGACCAGTTCTTGGGTGACTTGCGCAGCCTCAGCAAAATCATTTCTGAGAATCCTAACTTAGAGAATATCGATGGGGCTGCAAGAGATCTCTGGCTCGGAAAGATAATTTGGAGAGAGTTTGTAGAGATCTTGGGAAAATGTTTGAGTCTATCTGCGAGACAGATGGTCACTTCGGAAAAAAAGGGTATGTTTTTCAGAACATTTACTCCGATGCCTCACATTAATCTCACGCCAGATCATCAAAATCCTTTCAACACCTTAGAGTTCCGTTTGATTTTTGAAGGTTATGTGCAACGAGATAAGACGAACTCGGAGGGTCAGCGAGCTGACGACAGTATCTTGTGGAAAAGCCTGGATCAAATCAGCACACAAGAGCATCGGCCG